GTGGGGGATGAGGAGACTAACCGCGGGGTGGGCCCGGGCCCCGGTTACCTTTTATCCCTGCGGCCTACCGGCTCCGGCTCGGCGATGGAGTCCTCCGGCGTGTCGTTTGGGCTCTCAGGTGGCTGCGGTGAGGGGCGAAGCGGCTGCTGGCGGCTCGTGCGGCTTGGCTCAATATTTTAGAACCATGAAGAGCGAACCAAGAAGAGCGGCCACGTCCGGCGGCCCGTTTTATTCAGGTTCCCCCTCCGCTGGTACGATGACGTCCTCGGGGTCCCATTGGCCTAATTTTTTTCCCGTTGACCCAATTACGCGGTTTCTGGTTTCCCGGTGGGGATCCTCGGCCGGCGCGCTCCCGGGATGGGGGGTCACCGGGGCCGGCGGGCTGCCGGCTCGCGCCGCGCGCGAGGCTCAGGGACGACACCGGTGAGGGTCTCCCCCCCCCCCCCCCGGGCACGACGATGTTACTGCCCGAGACGTCCCTCGTCCTGGGCTGGTCCCGGTTGACCTGGGGCTCGATCGGAGCCGTGGCCCCAGGTGTCCCTCCCTCGAGGAGGTCGTCCTAGATGACCTCGGTGGTCCCCGAGGCGCCACTTCATCCCTATCCTCATGGTCCTTTTTGATCCGTCCGCCGCACCAATGCCTGGCCGCGAACGGGCTCCTCGGGGACGCAGAGACGCCCCCTCGAGGGTATCGGCGGTGGTCGGGGCCTCGCAGGTGGGCTCCTGCCCGCCGGTCTGGCGCCTGGCCGGGAAATTGGCACCCTCCCCGCGGGCGGGCCTCCTCACGCCGCTAGGATGAGCTGAGGCCCTGCTTCCGCGGGTCCGGCATCCGGCGGCCTCCGCATGTCCGACCCTTGCGTGGTTCAGGTGGCCCGAGGGGAGAGGCTGGTGCCGCCCTTGTTGGAGGCAATTCGCCCTTCGATGTTGCTTGGGATGTCGTCCTGGTGGTGCCCTGCCGACGCTTCCTCCGGCCGATATCCTGACGGCCCTGACGCCGTGTTTTGGGTCGTCCCTCGGAAGTCGAGCGTCGCACGCGCGGAGCCGGGCCGTCGCGCTTATAGGTATCGATAGCGAGCGAGGCCTAGAAACGGCTATTCTCTGGTTCTAGCTGATTAAATTAAAATATGACGATTCCCCTGCCTAATATGGCTTAATGCCCAAGGGATGCAAAAAAAAAGGTACCGAAACGGTCGGTTCATATTTTCTTCCAGGTGCGCCACTGGAGAGAGGGAGAAAGGAATTAGTTGAATTCGACGTTCCCGATAAAATAATTGAAATGCCATGTTTCGGCAGGAATTAAGGAAAAGGTACATCGGGTAGACTAATTCCCCTTAAGGTCAATTATCAAAAGGAGGTTACCAAAAGAAGGGATTCTCGTTCTAGCTCCCTTCTACGCTTTCTCGAGTTCGCGCGCGCTGGGTACGATAAGGAAATTGCATCATAGTAAAAAAAGTTATTAAAGAGACCAAATAAAATAGGGCCAACCGCCCCCCACCATCTCCGACCCCTCCATTCACCGCAGCCTGGACCCCCGACTCCTGTTGGCCGTTGTATAAGGGCAGAGCATAGCGCCGTTTTATGTCGGCATTTCCCTCTCAGAAATGCCACGTCACAATTACATCCCCCCTGGGAGCAGCGGAGGCACCTCGCCGGAGCGCGACAAGCCGGTGGTTCCTTTCGCCAAGGACCTGCAGTAACGGGCGCTGCCCAAAACTTGGCCGCTACACCTCTTCTCAAATGGCCATCGGCGGCGAGTCCGGGTATCGTGTAACATCGTGGTAGCTCAAAAAAAAAACAAAAGAAATCAGTTTTCGCTCGCTTTCCCTGTCGGGGCAGCCGGCGAGCGAGGAGGGATTAAACTCGAGAGAAAACACCACGGGTTCGTCGGGATTAACCCAGCAAACAAATTTATATTTTGCATCTGTCCTTACGGGTCCCCGATGACACATCTTGGGGCGGTTCTGGTTGGGCTCGGACGAAGTAGCCCATGTAAGAAAAGAAAATCTTGCCCAGCGGGGTGGGAATGGGGAAAAAAGGAAGTAATATTGGAGACAAATGAAGGGAAAACAAAAAGGAAATCTAGCAAGGGTTGGCCCTCAGGCCACGTATGTTTGGCGCTCAAAGGCGCATCGAGGGCGCTCCCTCGGGTAGGGCTTCCCCCCCTTTTTGGAGGGGGCCATTGCGCAATAATCGGTCCCTTAGCGGGCTTGCCGCATTCGGGGACGGCCAATCCGTCCTCCACGGTTCGGAGGAAAAGGCCAGACCACCACTAAGAGTAATAGGTATTAAAATCAAAAAAGAAAGGTCTTAGCCCGAGACAATAAGACGTAATGAAAAGGAGACCAAAAACGAGAAAGAAAAACTAAGGGGTACCCATGATTCGGAAGACCAAAGTGAGGCATCACTAACCTTAAAATCAAAGGGATTTGGGCCCGAGGTACTAAAATAAACAGAACAGACTAAAATCATACGAATGTTGGGGTTTTGCCCACGGTACTAAAAGGTAGGGACCGGGGTCGAGGAAACGAAAGGAAGGCAACGCAATGGCTCTCCTCGCCATTTATCGTTCGGCCGAGGAGGCCCCTGGCGCTTGGCGCTCGGACCTGGGTATCGGCGCGAGGATTCCCGGTTCGCGGCACTCCCGGTGGAGCGCTCGATTGGTCCACGACCAACCAAAGGGATCGACAAAAAAAAAATCAGCTTGCGACCGAGGTACTTAAAACAACCTAGTCTGATAGCCTCCGCCAGGGAATCTTAAACCTATGGGTTTTCGGCCCCGTGCCGAGACTATACTCATACGTCGCACCCAGCACCACCAGTGGCCGAGTGGCGAACCGTACTTGGGGTGGAGAGGGCAACCGATGGAAGGGCGACTCACGGGGTCGTCTGCCCCGCGTTTACTCCCGGTCCCGGGAGGGATTTTCCCGCGGGTCCCCCATTTCCGCCTGCCAGGCGTCCCGACAGTTGGAACAGTCGGATAATCGGACTTCGGTTCCCCGCACTGGTAACAGAATACGCGCCGTGGGTAGGGGCATTGTGCGTAGTGATGCGCGAACCCGCAGTTATAGCACGCCTGCCTCCGGCGTGGTCGCGGGGCCGGGGTCGTGGTCGCGATGGCCGTTAGATGGGGGGGCGGCGGGACCCACCCCGATGTGCTGGGCGGAGGCGTCGGCGGCCTTACGGGCACCACGCTCCATCGGTCCGTCCCAGGGGCTGGGTCTTCCTCCGGCTGGCTGCACCCCGGGCATAGGACGCAGGGCTTCAACATTTCCACCGCTAGTGCATCGATACGGGAGAGGGGCCGAAGGGACGGGATAGCCGGCAGTCCAGACCGCCGGCTCGTTCCCTGAACCGCCGCCTGTCGTGGGGAGCGGCTCCGGGCCGGTGTTCGGCGAGAGCGCGCTCTTCTAGGACGCAGAATGCCGGGCCCAGCGGAGCGGGACCGTCGGCGGGCCTCTCGGTGGGTGACATCAGCGTCCTCCTCCTCCGCCGGTTCAGTCTTGATCGGGCGGTATAAAACTGTACAGTACTAGGAAATTCTTCTCCCATCGACTAATAAATGTGTTGACATTTCAAGCCCTTGTATTGACAAATATGTCGACAAACTGTCCTTGTATGGACGAACATATCAACGGACTGTCCTTGTATGGATGAGTATATTAACGAACTGTCCTTGCATCAACCGGTACATCGTTTAATTGCTTCTTGTGCTTTGAAGTGACTTTTCATAGGCAACATAATCAAATAATCATTAGAACTTTGAAATCTTAACAAGACTTGTAGGAAAATGGCTATACACGTTCGTGAGAGTAACTACAATGCGATATTTTCAAAAGTTGCGTGCTCGGCGTTTGTGCGAGTCATTGTAGCGATGAATACGTTGATATGATGTCCTTGTATTGACCATTTTATCGTCAAGTCTATGTGGGCGGTTCCCTGAATCTTGGAACTCGAGAATGTGTTTCAAATCCTGTAGGAATACTATAAAATCCCAACTTCAACAAAAATATGAACATTTCCTTGAGATTATGAATCGAACTGCTAAATAAACTTTACAGGAAAACGGACTTTTGTGACACCTTTTACTTAGAAATACTTGCACAACTCGTTAAATATTACAAAAAAAAATTACATTCTAAATGTTAATACGGTGGTCAAGTGGTCGGAGATCTAGTGAAAGAGATCCGAGGTACGCAAGTTCAAATCTCGGTGAAGTAAGATTCTTCTGTTCTCAATGTTCTGTAATCTCACAATTTTTAAATATTTGTTTATACAATGGTAAATAATGGTAGAGTTTAATTTATTCTAATTCCTTTTTGCGTACAAGTAGAATAACGCTTTTTCATTACGATCTTGGATCACACGTAGGTCAGGATGAAACGTTAGTTATTTACAATGTGAAGGACTTGTCACATACTGTAGTAGGAAATTTAGACGTATTCATAGATTTACATGATTCAGTGTAACTGAACGACAATGAAAATACTAGTTTTGAAAAATGTCTTACAAAGTGATACAGCGTTCTACTGGTTACGAATTGAGGGAAGAAAGGAGTGGTAAGCGGGTTCGATTCACGGTGGTTTGTTATTACTTTTTTTTTTCTTTGTTTCATAAACTCGCATGGTTATCAAGTATTGTTTATAGAATGGGAGAGTTTATTTTCTCCTCATTCCTTTTTATGTACATAGATTATAAGGCTCTCCCGTTACGATCTCGGATCGCACATAGGCCCGGGTAAAATGTTAGTTCTTGACAATGTGAAGGAGACGGGAATAATTGCTCGTCAACTGTTATATTTTGCCCTGGTTGATAGCAAGCTTGACTATTTTCAATGAACTTGTCCCATATTTCCGAAACCAAGGCAAATTTATTTGTTTGGAGGCGTTTACTTCTTTCGGTTCTTTTGTCAAAACGAATAAATCGTAGGATTTGCTTGAACTTATCTCTGGGCATAGTTTTTCTAAAAAAATTCGGGACCCCACTTTGCTGACCATAAATAACTCAGTTTAAATTTTTTGCCTCGCAGGCTCCACGAGCATATAAAATCCCAATAAATGCACGTATTTCCGGTAATGTTGTTGTCCAATCGTACCCCAAAATTCGGCGGCCTTCTTCTGTGCACTTTTTTATATGTTTGATAATATAGTTATCTATTATCAACGAGAATGCACTGACAAGATTATCTGCAATGATCGTCCTTTTTGCGTAGCCTGTTGGTCCTTTCACACCCTTGAAAACACAAGTAGATGGTAACCTTCCAGGAATACCACCTTCGTCAAATTTTAACCACACAGTACCATCGGCAGCTGTTTCGGTCTCTTGAAAGGTGTTTTCAGTTTCTTCATCAGAGTCTGAACTACTTAGCACCCTACACCTTTTCCTGGGCATATTGATAACACTTTCATTTTCATCGTTGGTGATCGCCTCTTCATCGCTATCTTCAGCATCAGATGTCTCACTTTGAATATAATCCGATTCATCTTCAGATGATAGTTCCCAATTTGTTGCATCTGATTCTATATCGGAACACTCTTCATCTATGTTCCTTAGCTTTTCCAATAACTCTCTTCTATTCGACATTTCTTTCATGAATTTAGGGCGCAAAAGAAATCAACTGAACAATGTATTTGAACGACTGTCAGTGTATAAAGCAGGCCTGTCCGAAGTCGACACGTGCGCAGCTTGCGGTTCTTCCACTCTGTCAAAGCGTATCGATTACAGTATGTGATCCTCCTTCCCCCCTGAACTACGTTATAGCGCGTTCAAAGGGAACGGGACAGGCCTGGCATAAAGATTAGGAGATTGGGAGGAAAAAAGGGGGTTGGACGGGAGGATAATGGAGGAGAAGGAAGAGTAGGAGGGAGTGGGGGAGGGGGTGCGGGCGTCGGGCCCGCCGACTGGGAGGGAGGGAGCCCTTCCCAGGGCTACCACCCCCCGGAGGGCGGGGCCCGGCAGAGGGAAGAAAGGGGAGGAAGGGGAGGGAGGAGTAGAAGGGGTTGAAGTCGGGGGAGGAGAAGTGGGAGGGGATGGGGGTGGCAGAGGGATACGAGCGGTGAGAGGGGATGGGGGTGGTGAGGGGTTAGGGGAAGACATCAGAACGGAAAAGGGAGCCACAAATATGTCGGAGAGGGCTGGGATGGGAGAAACGGGAAGGATGAATATGGGGGAAGAGGATTGGGGCGAGGGTGTGGGAGTAGGGGTATGGTTGCGGGGTGAGGGAGTTGGGGGTGTGGGAACGGTGATGGGGGGTGTGGGCGGGGGGACAGGAACGGCCATCAGGGCCGGGGGCTTAGGGGTGGGAGTTGGGACAGGGGTTGGGGGTTTGGGAACGGTGATGGAGGGTGTGGGTGGGAGGACAGGGACGGCCATCAGGGCCGGGGGTTTAGGGGTGGGAGTCGG